AAACGATAAACAAAATGTCGTTAGCAACTAGAAGAATTTAGAAACGCTATTGTATATTCATATGGTCAATTGAAAAATGACTTCAATTACTGTTATGGGATCTTACCCATAATAATAATAATGGACTATTCCATACTTAATAAATACTGCACCTCAGGAGTAGGCAAGAGGTCAGGAGTCAGTAGTTCAAGTCGAGTCAAGAGTCGAGTCAGAGGCAGTCCGAAATCGAGTCGCCTTCAGACAATTACTGCAAGACATTGGAATAGTGATACTGGTCGAGACTACATTGTTCTCTCTACTAAACCTGATTGTTCATACTAACACTTCTACTTCTCTGTATATATTCCTGTTTGTAATATATCTGTGTTATTTCATACCCGTGTTCGAGTTCTTCTTTATTGGTTCTACCTTGGACTATCACCGTGGTACAAGGAATCGAACCATAACAAGTCGCGACGAAGATTCTAATTCATTCGGTGGAAGAAAAAAACATCGTTCGCCACAGCATAATAAGTAGCAACGAAGGAAACCAACTCTCTACGCGGAGGACAAACCTTTTTTCTTTTTTGCTATCCGTCGCGCATAACAAATGGCGACGAGGAAACCTTAAAAGGGTAATACGAAACTAATTCTAAAAAAAAAAAGAAAAAATTTCTTTTTTTTGATATCAAATTTTCTCTGGCAACAAAGGAAAGTTTGTTTTTTTTTTGTTGCGTGCACAGGTTAGAGAATATCAGGTAACACAAAAAAATACGTTAACATGGAAGATTTTAAGTCAACCATTATGGAACTTAACAAAATCCAATTTGAACAACAACAAAGGTACGAACAGAAACATCTGGAATTGCAAGAATTATTGCTACGTGCAATGAAAAATAAGGAGCAAAAATCCGAGAACGAAGCAGTTCTCTCACAAGACGCTATTTGGTGTAATATCGAAGATTTCAAGTACGCACCCGACGAAGATAAAACTTTTGCAAATTACTTCCTAAGGTACGAAGATCTATATGATTTTGACTGCAAAGATTTGTCAGACGCACGTAAAGTACGCCTATTACTAAGAAAATTAGGCACAGACCAATATACCAAATTCGTAGATTATATCCTTCCCAGAAAAACAAGCGAGTTAACGTTCAAAGAATCCATAAAACTGCTAACGGAACTTTTCAGCCATAATACTTCACTATCCCATAAAAGATGGAAATGCTTGAACCTTACAAAAAACGGATAGCGAAGATTACATAACTTTCCCATCCATTGTTAACAAATATTGTGACGACTTCAAATGCTTAATTTACGTCCAAGGCCTGGTTTCAACCAAAGGCGCGGAAATGAGACGCAGAATACTTACTAAATTGAAGAGTGAACAAGATCTGACACTTCAAAAACTAGCCGAAGACTGCCAGAGATGCATCAGTGTGAAGAAAGACTCAAAAGACATAGAACAAGCTGGCATAGCACACGTACGCAAAGTACGAAGGCAAACAAATTTTCCCTCCTCACAAACAAACCGAACCGATTTTCCCGCCTCAAGAACAGGAAAAACAAAATTTTCTAATTATAATCAACATAAAAAAAACTACCACCCAGTTCATGCTATCGTTGTGGGTCTTGGCATTGGGTTAAAAACTGTACATATCGTTTTAAAACTTGTCTATCATGTAAAAAAATTGGCCACATTAGTTCTCATTGTTGGTATAGAAAAGAAAACAAAAGCAGAATAAGAATTACGAGGACTGATCAAGCAGATGAGACTAATATAAGAATATATGTACAAGTTGAAATGCAAAAGAGCAAAGTTAGGTTACAGCTGGATTCTGGCTCAGACTTAACAAGATCATAAACCTACAAACATGGAGAAAACTGAACAAACCTGTCATGTTAAAAACGGATAAAATTGCTAGATCATTTACGGGGAGAAAGATACAATTCGAGGGTGAAGTAATTACAAACGTAACATTTAATGGAATGACGAAAAAACTAAAAATGTACGCCTTAAGAAATATCGAAAACCTATTCAGAACAGACTGGATGCAAAAAATTCGAATTGTGGGATGTACCTATTAGCACCTACTGCCAAAATGTAAAAAGCTTATCAACCGAGGCAGACAAATTAAAAGGAAAACTAAAAACGAGTTTCCCCGAAGTATTTTCAGCAGGTCTCGGAAGATGTAAGAAAATGGCAGCTAATATCAAAATAAAGGAAAACTTTCAACCTGTTATCAAGAAAAAAAAGGAGCGTACCGTTTGCGTCAATAGAAAAAATTGACCAAGAATTAACTAGACTCGAAAATACGGGCATATTGAAAAAAGTAGAGTACAGCAAATGGGCCGCACCGACGGTCTACGTTAAAAAGAAATCAGGAGAAATTTGTAGTTTGTGCTAATTCTTCTACAGGTCTGAACGCAGCAATAAAGGACTACCACTATCCTCTACTAAGTCCAGAAGTCATGTTTGCTAGGAAAATCAGATCAGCGTTCGATAAATTACTACCAAGTAAAACAAAACCAGTAACAGTCCTACGCACCAAAAAGAAAAATCCTCCCAGGAAAAAAAGTTTTTTTTCAAGGCATAATTGAGAAAAGAATTGGCAATATGATGTACATAGTTCAAGGAAAAAAAATTATCACACAAAAGACACGTAAACCAAATAAGGAAGAGACCGTTACAGGATTCTAACGGTCCACCTCAAGAAGAGGTATTGGACACGATTTTCGACACATTCGATATAAAAAGACCGCAAATAATACCAGAACCAAAAAAATCGTCTAGAAAAAGAAAATTCACTGAACCTTTGGAAATAGATCCAAAGAAAAAAAGATATTAAAAAAAAATCCTGCTACGTAAAAGCTTGGGAAGCGGGGTGTTTTGGGGTCTTACCCATAATAATAATAATGGACTATTCCATACTTAATAAATACTGCGCCTCAGGAGTAGGCAAGAAGTCAGGAGTCAGTAGTTCAAGTCGAGTCAAGAGTCGCGTTCAGACAATTACCACAAGACATTAGAATAGTGATACTGGTCGAGTAGACTACATTGTTCTCCCTACTAAACCTGATTGTTCATGCTAACACTTCTACTTCTCTGTATATATTCCTGTTTGTAATATATCTGTGTTATTCCATACCTGTGTTTGAGTTCTTCTTTATTGGTTCTACCTTGGACTATCACCGTGGTACAAGGAATCGGACCATAACAATTACTTTATGTTTGAAGAGAATATTTTCATTTTCTAGTTGCTAGCGGCATTTTGTTTGTTGTTTGTAGGTACTTTGTTTCAATAAATTTTGTTTTTTTTGTTCTGAAAAAGTCCAGAATGGACGAAACACGTCGGCTAAAACTACAGTTTTCCTACTGTCTTTTCCCCTTAATACATACATATCTGTACAGATATTGTAATGTACAGTTTTCACGTTTTAATGCGAGCTTGACCATGCATGCCAATATTCCAAGTTCCATGGTGGATAATTTTTTCATGTTCTAATGAGCGCTAAAGCAATACTCTCAGCCGTTGTATTTCAAAGCAAAAAGAAAAAAATCAGTAATGAATAGCTACACATTGTTTTCCCTTACAAGTTGCATCCCTGATGATGATCTCAGAAATAGATAGAAAGTACTTGGGAAATAAAAGTAATATTTACTCTCACAATACATTTCTTGCTTTATTTGATTGAAATATACGAAAAATATTCGTGAATAGGAAAGGATTATGCTAAAAATAAGCAGACATAGTGTTTGTAATTTATTTAATCAGACATGCTTAAAAGAGAATTTGCTGTCTAAATACATAAATATATAGTAAAATATACCGTTTTAATGAAAATAGAAATAAATTTATTAAGGCCAAAATGTATTAAAAGTGGATTCATTTCAGAAACTTTCAAGGTAAGCTTACATCCAGGATATCTACTTTCGTAACAAAACTAGTGCGATTGTATTGTGAGATATTTAAAATGAATAAAAATAAGAACTGAAACAAAGTAGAAAGCTGAATGAAATTGAGTATGTTATATTTCTAGATTCATCGGACTTCGAACAATTTTAAAATTTCAATTTAAAATTAACCCTCCCCGGATTTTCAGCGTTTCTCGATATAAAATTGTGAACGCCATTGGTTGTATTTCTCTCCTACTATAAATGTATATGAACTGACTTAATCGATAAAATCATTATTAGTCTGAAGAAGTCTCCGCGAGGGACGAAACGCAGGACGTAGTATTTTTTTTCAAACGTTTGTTTTGAATACTGATCAATATTTTAAAAACTTTAGCGGTTGAGATGTCATCACTTTGTAACGAACGAGGTTGCTCTCGTTCAAGCTAAATGAATTAATCATTTTGAAATGACTAGAGTTCAATACGTTGAGGTTTTAACATATATATATTTATACACAGAAAAGCAAAGGTCAGAAAAGAACAGAAACACCAAAAATGTATATATGTCTGTACAGATAGCTAAAAAAAGTAAGCATAATTATTTATTAAATTAGTGTAGTCTGTGTGTGTGTGTGTGTGTTTACGCGTGTGTTGTTCACGTAGTTTGTTTGAAATTAAGAAACCAGTTTGCAGAGTAAAGAAATATATTTTTATATAAACAACTTAACAGACAAAAGAAGTGAAAGAGAAAATTATGTTTACCTGTGTACAGATAACTCAAAGTAAAAAGGAAGAAACACCATTTATGGAATTAGCTGTATTTTGTGTGTGTGTGTGTGTGTGTGTGTGTGTGTGTGTGTTTGTGTGCGTGTGTGTGTGTGTGTGTGCGTGTGTGTGTGTGTGTGTGTGTGCGCGCGCGCGTGTGTGTATGTGTGTGTGTGTGTGTGCGCGCGCGCGCGCGAATACAAGGCCCTTCTCGATTAATATTTCCCATCGGCGTCGGTAATTTGATTGCAAATCTTACTGAATTTTGATTTTTAAAAATGTGTGGAATAGCGCAACATTCAAACGCTTTTTCTCTTTTCCTTAACATCTTTACGTTAGCTTAGTACTCAGACGCTCACCTCCTCACAGATAGATAGATAGATAGATAGATAGATAGATAGATGGTTTGCTTTGGTTTATTTTGTTTTACGGCATATCAACCAGAGTGCGTTATTTAATGCCGACAATATTTTTTATTGCTGGTAATATTTTGTTTTGTCAAAAAATCTGTTTCTGGTAATGTTTTTCCTTCAAAATTGTATTGCTGGTAATAATTTTTTCAAAAAAGTATTGCTGGTAATAGTTAATTATTTGTCCATAGCTGGGACCCTAACAGGTGCTACCACCCGGGGTCAGGATGGACCTGGGAACACCAGCAATTAAGAGGTGGTTCCATGCCCCTCAAAACCTCCTGATCAGCTGCTGGATATAGTTTATCGTCTTACCCAGGACGCGGATCTAGTTTAACGTCTTACCCAGGACGAAGATAGATAGATAGATAGATAGATAGATATTGAATAAAGGGTGATAGAAACTGCCAGTTTCGCGACCTTAGTGCAATCTAGTGTTGATTACTATATCTGCACTCTTTATATATATATAAACGTTCCAATATTGAGTACACTTCAAATGCACACAAACATGCGCACGCACATACACACACACACACAACACACACAAAGATATATATATATATATATGTGTGTGTGTGTGTGTGCGTGTGCGTATAACTTATTTCTTTAAACGTTATATTTTCGTAGAAATGTTTAAAAATGCTTTGATACCAGGCGCTGCATGCTTGGATGTGCGGGTGGTGTAATGGATAATTGCCCTGAATGAAAAATCGAAAAGCTGAGTTCGAACTCCAGTTACATCCACTTAAGCTCAAATATGGGAAAGTTAATTATTTACATTATTCGGACTATTTTCCTAATCTTTGTCGCCATATTTATTACAACGTTTCGGCCATTGTGCGCTCCGGCATTCTTCATCGAAAACTAAAATTTTAACCTAATTGTGTTTAGAATCAATCGTTACCTATGCTTGAAATAACAATATATTCCTTATATATTTGATACATTTAGCAGATGTATTTTCCAACATTATTTGCAGAAGAAAACTATCTCTAATGGGTCCTTTAACTATCAATTGAATTGTACACCTGTAGAAGGCCGAAGAATACATTAACCGACACGTAATGATAAAACCGTTAGTGAATAAAAATACTTTCTTTATTGTTTTCATTATATCTTAAGCATTCGTATTTTATTCTTTTCTTTTTCTTCGTGGCCTTTTTTAATTTTCTTTTCATTTCCCCTGTTCATGTAATGTCCCCACAATTCTCTTACTGAAGTCTTAAGGTAAATGGTATGAATACAAAAAAATCTGCCTCAACTAAACCATTTTCTTCTGAGTCCAACACTACACGCACGCACACACACAGACTCACATATGCACAAACAACAAGCCAGAAAGGTTGTTGTAAGCTAATTACAGGCACCAAAAATGTTGTTAGCATTCCCGGGGGGGAAAGAGATTTTCATTAATTTTTCATCCAATCAGGAAGAAGGAAGGAACTTTTTTTTCACAATGCAATGATCACCAACTGCCGAATTACCGGTCCCTTCCACGCAATGGTGTCTTCGAAAAACAATTTTTTTTTTTCGCTAATCGAAAAAACAATCCTTCTTTAGTATTGTAAAAAAATAAAGAAACCAACACATTTGATGGCCGTGCCGATGATCTTTTCTCTTAGTGGATGAGGGTTGAAAACTGACAGCACAAAAACGGATTTCTATTACGTTTTATATGCATCTTTTTTGGTGAAAGCCTTGTAATAGCTACGTTTACTTAAGTCACGGGACTAGACTACCTGATTTACTTTATTTTGGTCACGTGTAAAAACGACGTGTCCTTTTTAAAATACTTTCAAGCCACGCCGAAGAAAGTGTGGCATCATTTATACTTAAATATATATCCTCTTAAACTTAGCAGCAATCTATCAGGGTTTGGGACAAAAGGCATTTATTGATATGGTTGTCTAGTCATAATGGTGTTAAAAGATTACCAGTTATTGAAGGGATGTATTCGTGTAGATATGTGTATCAATCAACGAAAGGGATTTCTTATAGTTTATATGAGAAAATAGTTCAATCGAGTTTGTTTAATATTTTAATATTTTGAAATCATCTTCGAATACGTTTTCACAACATCGCCCACGTGACGACGACGTGATCATATTTTAAACGGAACGCTGATCTTATATAAAAAAAATTCAGTTATCTGTTTGGATTAGTTGTGCTCTTATGTCCATTGTCTTTTTCAGGTTGAATTTTTTATGTTCTAATGTTAATTATGTTTTATGAATATGTCCTGATGAGGGTCTAAAATAGACCGAAACGTCCGAGGTTGACTTTATATTAACATTAATACAGCATAATTGCATATTAAGATTTTTGTTTGTTTTTTCGGTATATTTTTTTTCATATGTGTATAGTAATATTACGTAGTAGTTGATGCATTGAGAGTTCTTCAAGAAAACAGGATAAAATAAATGACAACATGCAATTAATAATGAACTTATTGAAAAGATTTGGTTTGGTTTGGTTTGGTTTGATTTACGGCATATCAATCTCGATGGGTTATTTAATGCCGACATTTTTAGGATAGATTCGTATGAATAGAATATGTATTCTTTGGTTTAGATTGGTTTGGTTTATTTTGTTTTATGGCATATCAACCTCAATGGGTTATTTAATGCCGATAACATTTTTAGGATAGATTCGTATGAATAGAATATGTATTCTTTGGTTTAGATTGGTTTGGTTTATTTTGTTTTACGGCATATCAACCTCAATGGGTTATTTAATGCCGACAACATTTTTAGGATAGATTCGTATGAATAGAATATGTATTTTTTGGTTTAGATTGGTTTGGTTTGGTTTGTTTTATGGCATATCAATCTCGATAGGTTATTTAATGCCGACAAAATTTTTATTGCTGCTAATATTTTGTTTTGTCAAATATCTATTTCTGGTAATATTTTTCCTTCAAAAATGTATTGCTGATAATAATTCATTTTTTTTAATTATTGTTGGTAATATTTTTTCCTCAAAAATATATTGCTAGTAATAGTTTCTTTTTCTTCAAAAATTTATTGCTGGTAATAATTTTTTACAAAATATTTCTGGTATTAAAAGCTATTTTTACACTTTCATAGTGTTTATATCCCAGTTCGTGGGTTAACTATTTGCCCATAGATTGCCCTGACAGCTGCTAACACCCCGGGTCAGGGTAGATCTGTGAATATTAGCAATTAAGAGGTGGTTCCACGCTTCTCAAAACCTCCTGGTCAGAGGCCTTGCTGCTGGACGTAGTTTATCGTCTTACCCAGGATGCGGATGTAGTTTATCGTCATACCCAGGACGACGTATTGAAAAGAATAAAAAAAGACTGAATGAATGTGCGCCTGAGGGGGGTGGACTTTTACGTACATGTATGCAAAGCTTGTATGAAAAATGATGAAAGCGTTACACATGAAAAGAATTATTTATCTGTTAGTTTAGTAGAATTATTAGATATATCTGTACGTAATCAAGTCAACTTGAGGCATTGTATGATGTGTACTTTCTGACTTGGGTTCAATGTGATATGTGGTTTTGCTGGAGGACAAAGTTTCACCAACAGAGGAATCGAAACACTTTTATATAATATAATACTTTAGGCAAAGTCATCTACTTGTCGTTAGCAGAAATTCATAGGAATACAAGTTGCGCAATCTCAAAAGAGAGAAAGAAGAAGAAAGAAAACATTAACACATAAACTAGTTATTCCTCTATAAACAGCATCCAGAAATTTAAATATCCATTTTATAATCCATAAATTTTGTTATATGCCCTTACGCACAAATACCATTGAGAAAGGTACGAATCTCTCTCTCTCTCTCTCTCTCTCTCTCTCTATCTATATATATATATATATATATATATATATATATATATATATATATATTAATGATATATGCATATATATATACAGTTACAATAAACTACATCCAGCAGCAAGGCCTCTGATCGGGAGATTGTTCTTTCCTCTCATTTTTATATATATATATATATATATATATATATATATATATATATATATATATATATATATATATGAATGTGTTGCAACGCCAATATCTATGGACATGTTCTTGTTGCCGAAATCGGACGCACAGATACGGTTGCAGGAGGCAGAATTCATTCTGAGTGTCAGGAAAGGATCGGGCGTCTTTCTTCCTTCGTCCGTCTTGTGATGCAACAAATTATTTGAAAAATGTTTGTAGCCTTGCAGCATAGATTACGCAACTTGAACCAATCAACAGAAGTATGGTCGAGATTGTGAGGCTGGTGTATGGTTGTATTTCGATCGCAAGTGTTTTCGGTTTTATGACCAGCAATAAGGTTTGTGAAATATGGTCTTCAAAGCAGGCCATCCGTTTAAGGCGAAAGTGAATAAAATGAATAAATAAATAAATAAAAACTTTTAGAACAAGTATCAAAAAAACATCTTCATTGAGTATTTCTAATCAGAGGTTTATAATAGGGGACACGGTCCGGATTCAGATGTATTTTGAACCGCCCGTAATTCCGATGCCACCTGTTTGAACAGCCAGCGGCGCGTTGTGATGTGAGGATATGCAGAGAATTGGTCAGAGGAAGAATCGAAAGGAAGAGTTGATCTGTTAGTCTGACATCTACATACCCACCTAAACCGGACAAGTGAAGCTCAGAGTAAAATACAAAAATGATGATAAAAGGATTCGTGTGTTTTTTCTTTCCATCGCGTTGATTTCATCTTCCGTCTCTTGTGAACATGCAGCAAACCTATCCCAGTTTTCGTATCTACCGACGCGAACAAATAGCGAAACACAATATGGAGGTCAATTTGTCCGGTCGCTTAAAGACTGAAAAAGGAGCCTCCTGATATGTTCCGAGCTGGAGTTTGACCTACTTTAAGTTTAATCTGAGATTGTCTTTGTAACTCTTCTTTGTGTGATGTTGGGTACGATGGCCCTGCTTATGTTCTCCAGACAACAACTGAAGCGATTTTCTTTTTGGGGGGGGTGCTATTTCATGCTGCATAAAATGTAATAGAATATCGTCAGTTAGTCCTCTCGTATTTCTGTCGAAACTCAAGAACTTTGGGAACTCAAGAAGAATTTGGTGGATGTATTTAAACGGCAGTTAAATCAAATAGTTTAGTTAAATTTACTTTTACTAATCTTAATCTAGTCTAGTGCAAAGATGTGCAGTAGGAAAACATGTTATTGTATCAGTTTGAGAACTGCTATGAAACTAGGCATTCGGACTAAAGGCTTTACTTAAACACTGATCCTTTTCGACATAGCTACAATGAAGTCCGCCATATTTGTTCTTAGTTTTTATATCGTCAACGAAGAGAAATATTATTGCGACGTCAATAGTTTATGGTTATGTCTTATGAAGACAAACGAATGACATGCAAGTTAACACTTGGAGAGATTTTGATGCATTAATTATCGTGTTATTCTAACATTTTACAAGTGTGTTTGAAAAAATTAAGTTATATTCAAGAATATAGAAGTATGAAGATTTGAATTTTACATCCATCGTTAACGACTGTATTTATTGTGCTGGAGTCTTCCTTCTTAAAAAGTACATTAATGAAACAACCAACAACAGGCCTACTAACAATGACTGTTAGACTAAATCTAACTTTATGGTAGATGTGATAAGAAGATGAATTTGATTAAATTATTACTGAAGATAGATAATGCTACTTACAAAATAGTTTTTAATCATTCCAACCCAAGGAAGGCGGTAATGCTACTAAGATGCAAGGAGTTACTGGGAGTGAAAGAGAAGAAATGACAATAAAATAACAAGTTTCAGGAAGACAGAAGATAGGAATTGGTCTTGTATTTATTTTTGAAGATTACTGGTGTCGGAGATGCGAGAAACAGAAAGCAAGTTAGGCAAGCGATAAGTGTGAGGAACAATTGGAATGTAACTTACGGTTACATCCATCTAGTTCAACAATATAACGGTATGACCTAGTTGCCAATCTAGCAGTACCCTTAAGTTCATTCAGTCGAGGTACCAAGGAGGTGAGTTCATCAGACCAGTTACCATAAAAATGTTTGTAGAAAAGACAGTGGGAAGCCACATTACAGTCGAGATGCCAGGTCAGGATCAATTTACATTACTTATCATTCTTTGGATCTTGTCAAGAATCTTACGATATATAGTCGAAGCACCAGACCGTATAAGGCAGCAATATTCAATGTACGGACAGATTTATAAATGTGCAAGATGGATTCTGATGAGAAAAACTTTGGTGGTGGAAAAGTAAAGTCTTGATTTTAGGTAAGGACAAATAACATTACATTCTTTGGATTTTATTGAGCATTTCAAGATATCTAACAGAAGCACCAGACCAGATATGGCAGTAATATTCAATGCATGGATGAATGGTAGATTTATACATGAGCAAGATGGATTCTAACGAGAAAAATATTAAATTGCTTTTAAAAGAGAAAAAAAGACATAAAAAAGAAAATGCTAATCATTATGAAATACAACTGAAAGAAACAAATAAACGAGAAAAGATTTTCGTTTTGTTTTTTACGGCTTATCAACTATTTGTTGATTATTTAAGTCTGAGACATATATTTGGATTGCAAAAATAATTTTCTCTTCTGGGAGTGAATATTGATTTAACAATTTTTTGAGATAATAATGATTTCATGCACAAGTTCTACTATTTAACTCATAGCTGGAGGAGAAAAGATGGATTCAGACCTTTTTCCCATGGTATTTGCGCGTAAATAAGGGCAACGGTCCGGATTGGAATTCACACAAGGCTCTAAAATGTCTCGTTTCGATCCGTTATCCATAGCAAGATCCGCACATCCAAGTTTAAAGCGCCTGGTATTCCCAAGCGGTCACCCATCTAGGTATTGATACAGGCTTGACGTTGCTTAACTTAATTGATCGAATGAGTACCAATGTTTCAACGTGATACAGTCATAAGCACAACACCAGAAGAGAAAGAAACAAGCCAAAAAGAATAAAGAGGAAAAGATAATTCAGAAATGCCAAGAAAGAAAAGAAGGGAAAAGAAAAGTAAAAAAAGAAATTGAAAAAAAAACCAGGTCATTTTCTTGTTTACGGGCGCGGCAAATATCGTCTGCTTTCAATGAAATATTTTGAATTATGCATACCTTATAAACCCAAGGATTGGTTCAAATTTATTTTAATCATTAATTTGGTAATGCCCCCCCACTCCAAAAAACAAACAAACAAAAAACATGTCTAACACCTTACAATCATACTCTGTGTGCGTCTATATTAGATTTTATTCTCAACAATCTGGACAGTGGTGTGAAAATTATCAAAGTTTATAATTTCCTTGATGAATAATAATACTTGGATTTTTATGAGAAGTATTTTGTAGATCAGTTTTAATATTTGATATTACTACGATCCATTTGGATTATATACCAACAGATTTGTTATATGTAATACATATGACTGATATCTTGATACAAACTAAATCGTATGCCTCTTATCAAAATAGTCGTTTCCATAGTAATTAATTTTGCAAATGAACATGCTTATAAAGATGCGTAAATTTCAAGATTGGTTATTCCTAAATTTTCGCTTGAGTATGAAACAGGGCTTGATACTTGATAATTTCAATAATTACATTGAGGTTCTTGGCTCTTGTTTTTGAAACATGACAACTCTTATGAAGCGAAGGAATCATATTTTTTTTAAATAATTATAATTATAGCTCTACTTCTGTATGGAACACTTTTTTTTAAAAAAAATAAAAACAAAAATACTAAAGAACTCCGAATTATTTACCTAACGTGTTCTTTCATATTTTTCTACATATTTGCATATATATATATATATATATATATATATATATTGAGTTGTATGGATATCACTTTGGTTTCACGATTTTGCGATCATCACAAACAAACATATATATATATATATATATATATATATATATATATATATATATATATATATATATATATATATATATATATATATATGGGGGGTATTACTGATATATGCAAGGCCTCTGATAGGGAGATTGGAGTTTTTGAAGAGCGTGGAACTACCTCTTAATTTCTGTTGTTCCGAGGCTCACTTTGACTCTGTCAGGGTCCCATCTATGGGCAAACAGTGAATCACAAAACAGAATACTCTGCAAGTATAAAAATATATTTTTATGATGACTGCGATATATTTTTGTATACCAAAATTACCAATAATACACAGTTATAGTAAAATTAACAAGAGTACATTTTTAAAGCTAAATGACAAACAATACATTTACATGCCAAACCCACTATTCAATAAATCATTTTCTAATTGAATGCAATTATCTTGACTCCAAAAGACACAATTTCTTTCAGGCAAACAGCATAAAAGAACTATTCGAAAATATTGAGATAAATAGAATTATAACGTTTCTGAAATCAGTTGATTTATATCGAAAAATATAAAAAAGGTTATCCATTTCTCAAAATATAAACCAAAATAAATCATTATTGTCATAAAAGGACTCGAAAGACTTAATATACACTAAAACCCCACTTAAACCTAAAGCAATGTATATACATATCTATGTAAAAAATTATCACAATTAACCTCTAGAAAAAGACAATATGTATTAAGGAAAAAGACAAAAAGAAAACTAGTTTTAGCCGACATGCTTCGTCCAATGTGGACTTTTTCAAGTGAAAAACGAAATAAATTTATTGAAACAAAGTATCTATAAACAATAAATAAAATGTCATTAGCAACTAGAATAATTTAGAAATGCTATTGTATATTCATATGGTCAACTGGCTTCAATTACTTTATGTTTAAAGAGAATATTTTCATATTCTAGTTGCTAGAGGCATTTTGTTTGTTGTTTATAGATATTTTCTTCGGCTAAAACTACAGTTTTCTTATTGTCTTTTTCCCTTAATACATACATATCTGTACAGATATCGTAAAGTACAGTTTTCAAGCTTTAATGTGAGCTTGACCATGTATGCCAATATTCCAAGTTCCATGGGGGATAATTTTTTCATGTTTTAATGAGCGCTAAAGCAATACTCTCAGCCGTTGTATTTCAAAGCAAAAAGAAAAAATCAGTAATGGATAGCTTTCTCACATTTGTATATATATATTGTTATGGGATCTTACCCAAAATAATAATAATGGACTATTCCATACTTAATAAATACTGCACCTCTGGAGTAGGCAATAGGTCAGGAGTTCAAGTCGAGTCAAGAGTCGCGTTCAGACAATTACTACAAGAAATTGGAATAGTGATACTGGTCGAGTAGACAACATTGTTCTCTCTACTAAACCTGATGGTTCACACTAACACTTCTACCTCTCTGTATATATTCCTGTTTGTAATATATCTGTGTTATTCCATACCTGTATTCGAGTTCTTCTTCATTGGTTCTATCTTGGACTATCACTGTGATACAAGGAACCGGACCATAACATATATATATATATATATATATATATATATATATATATATTAAGCATTTCACCCCAAACAAGGCGGGAAGCCACTAGGACCAAAGGGGTTACAGAAAGTTTAGAGCAAGATCAGATAGGAGTGATAGAAGAAAGGATGAGGGTAGTGGATAGATCAAGGCAACTGGAGATGTCGATTGACATTACACTTGAATAGCTGGATATATATATATATATATATATATATATATATATATATATATATATATATATATATATATATATATATTACTGATATATGCATGTATATACAGTGGCAATAAAGTACATCTATCAGCAAGGCCTTTGATAGGGAGATTTTTCTAACTGAATGCAATGATCTTGATTCAAAAAGACACAATTTCTTTCAGGCAAACAGCATAAAAGAACTATTCGAATTAAAATAAATAGAATTATAATGTTTCTGAAATCAATTGGTTTATATTGAAAAATATTTAAAAAAAAACAAAGATTATCCATTTTCCCTAAATGTAATCGCCCTGGGTAAGACGATAAACTACATCCAACAGCAAGGCCTCTGATCAGGAGGTTTTGAACAGCATGGAAACATTTCTTAATTGCTTGTGCTCCCAGGTCCACTTTGACCCTGGGTTTTAGCACCTGTAAGAGTCCTAGCTATGGGCAAATAGTTAACCCTGAACTGGGGTCAAAACATTATGAAAATGTATTCTCAACAACCTGCACAAAGGTGTGAAGATAACTGCTTAATAAAAATAACGAAAATTATCCAAGCTTATTGTTTTTCTTGATGGATAATAAAAGTTTAGATTTTTATGAGAAGTATCACGAGTCCTGGGTATAAAATGGGTGTGAAATAGCAGGAGCTATGTACAATGTACACATTTTATTTTAATGTTTATATATTTGTTGATCACGTAAGTTAAATAAGAACGGAACGAAAGGGAAGATATAAAAAAGCGAAAATGTGGGAAGAAGAAAAAATGAAAGAAGAAAATAGAGAAAATGCCTCCCAAGTCATTGAAATAGAGAAAATGCCTCCCAAGTCATTGAAATAGAAACAAGAAATAAACACTAAAGATTTAATGTATAAAACCAGAAGAAGAGACGGAAAACGAAACGACCGTATCTTAAAGACAGTGAAAAATTAAAGACGATAGAAAACGAAAGAATGAAAAGACCAAAGAAAGAAAGATGAAAAGAAAGATTGAGGCAATGAAAGGCAATAAAAAAGAAATACAAGTAACTTTTTTGAATTACAAAATTCGCTCTGAGAATTATATAAACAAAAAAAACGAAACGAAAAACAATGAATGAATGACGCATATCAGTCATCAAAAGACACCGACAAATAACTTTTTCAGAATTGTCTCCCTTTAAATTCTCTACATAAAGGCTACAAACAAACACAAAACACTGCAGACATATTTGTCTCCTTTTAATTCAAACCTGAAGTTTCAACAAATCGTTAAACTTAAAAATATTTCATTTTTTAAAAATTCAGCTTCTTTATTTTGTACGGGCATTATACTTGAAATTTAAGAAAAGAAAAGAAAAATAAGAAAGCAGCAAAACAAAATGAAGTCAATAATGAATTTTTAAAAAAATCTTTTATTAAGCCTTCTTTTGAATCAAAAGTTTTTTTCTCGTTTGTGTTTAAACAGCTTGAAAGGGCCGTTATTTTCGTATTTTATGTCTGTACAAAAAAAAGGAAAAACGCAAAACTGTTTAATGCTGAAATGTAGACAAATAAATAAATACAATTTGATATAGAATAGAAAAGAGATATAAAAACAGTCGGCTGGGTCGAGAAGTGAAACAATGGACAAAATTAAAAATGACAGCGAGCAAAATGAAATCTGTGATAATGAAAAGGACAAAGAAATATAAAAGAAAGACGAAAGATAGGAATATGAGAGAACTGAGCGAATTGATAAATATGTCCAAAAGACGAAGAAAAGAAAAGTGATGTTGAAAAGATGAATTTGAAAGTGAAAAAAATAAAAAATAAAAAGAGAAGGAGAGAGAGAACAGAGCAAGAAATTAAAAGGTCAAAAGGAAAATGCGAGTTAGAAAAAAAAGGAAATTGTGACAAAAGAAAGAAAGAGAAGCAAGAAAAATGGAAAGGAAGAACGTAACGATAAAACTTGAAAACTGAAAAATAAGCGAAAACAAAGGCAATCAAATGAGAAATAGACTCTCTCGACGCTGATCCTTTAAGCAATGTTTTACAACATGGCCGCCATTCTCATGTACACAAAAGTGAGCAAACAAAAATTTGGTTTCTGTCTGATGGCAAATGATGACAATGAGAGCAAAGATGCAAAATTCTGGATTAAAAGAAAAAAACATTCATCCGCAATATTTTCCTCCACTAAACCCTTTTCTAACAAATACACTTTCCTGCGAAATCAATTGATTATTGAAAAATAGAAAAGTGAAAAAAATGAAAAAAAAAGAACGCGTAGGGGCTCCAATTAGACCATTGTCAGAAAACACGACAAATATGATTATGCAATATCCGGCAATTAGTTTAGAATTTGGTTAATGCCTTCAATGTGATTATTATCCAATATCGAAGAAGTCCACATGGAATAAGAAATGGAGTGTTTTAAGAGGGAACCTAACGAAGAGAAATAATGAAGGAAGAAAGCTTAGAGAAATTGTGAAGGAAGGAAGTCAAGAGGAGGATGGAAAATAATGTTGATAAACTAAAGAAACGAAGGAATTAGAGGTTAACATATAACAGAAAATAAGTAAAACAGAAAAAGAAAATAAGAGAAAAAGAAAAAAAGATTTTAAGAGCATTTTAAAAGGTGATAAAAGAAAGAAAATAAAAAGCAAGGAGATAAAGTCAAAGAGAGAAAGAGAGATGGATGGGTAAGAATGAAATCGTTGATGTATGAGAAAAAACAAAATGGCGATTCAGAAGCGGGAAGAAAGAAATGGAGTGAAAAATTGTTAAGAAGTTGAATTAACCAGATAAAGAAATGAAGAGACTAAAGAGGCTGAATTGGGGAAACGAAATCGAAACAAAAAACCCAAACAAATAAACAAAAAAAAAAAACAAACTACAGTCAAAAACAAAACTGACAGCGACCATCACATCAACAATGACAAGAAGAAGAAACAAGTGCCAAAAAAATTGAGTTGAATAATGTTGTTTCAAAATTCGTACATTGGTTTCAATAATAATTGAATTATGCCTTGGAATTACTTTTGTGCTGTTACGTTTGCGAATCATTTCCCTCGTTGACTGTACTCTCTGAATTCTTGCGAGTATTCAGCACGCCATTTTTCTCTGTTGCCAAAGAAAAATCTTCCAGCAAGGCGTTCGGATTCCTCTGGAGAGGCGTTCGTTCGTTCGTCTTCTTCGCACCGAAAGCGCTTTTCATGCACACCCTGAATGAAGAATGCATTCAGATATCGCTGCCAAAAGAACAACCAATTTCAAAGAATTATCTTCTTCAGAATAAGAATGGGAATGAATGAATGAATAAATGGAAAATGAAAAACAAAGAGTTATGGTTCTGGGTTTACGATGTGGCAATTCCTTAGTTTGGAATCAGACAAACAGACAGACAGAAAGAGAAAAAAAAGACGACTGCCGAATTCGAACGATTGTGGGTAAACAATGTCTAACACTGTCATGTTTGTGTGGAGTGTTTATTTCTTCGATTGTGGAATTAAATAAGGAGAGGAGACTGCCATTGGACAATAGTTTCTATAAAAGCGAAAAATATAAATGCTTACAAAAAGAACTTCAATCTTACAGAAATAATAACGAAATTGATACAAACTGGTATATTAATGCTTTACAATATTCAGATTAACATGAGTACTTTTGTAATATGAAGATATAGAATTCGGGTGGATTACGGAAAATTCTGAAAATAGAATCATTAATCCGAGTTCAATTCCATTCCAGATTGTATACAGTTTGCAGTACACTTTAATTTTATAATACAAGTCATTTTTTTTATTTCAGAATACAGTTTGTATAAAACAACAACAACAGTCGGTAACATTTTCAATATATACATATATTTATATAAAGAATATATCGTATTAGTTTCACTTCAATGTAAACACAGTCCTGGTCCGGGCGGTGTAACTGGGCGTGGAAAAAAAGGTGAGCAATAACCAAGCAGTATTAAAAAGAATAACTAGACGAGATATCCCTAAACATGGCCAATGGAACGAGGAGAGTCTACACCCTAGGGATTAAATAAAAGATTCATTTCGGAATTCTTTGTATGTTACCCTTATCGATATACATCTAATGGAGGCCGGAGGCCACAACGGCCGAAGCGGAGTAATAACAAAATCAAAGATGAGAACAATAGTCCGAATATAAATAGTGAAAATAATGATAAAAACTTGTTTTTATTGCTTGATTGTTTTGTTTTTTTACGGCTTATCAACCTCTTGCTGGTTATTTAAAGACAGAAAGATATTTTCAGATTGTAAGACATTTTTGGAGATAATTATTTATTGATATATCTCCTACTAATTAATCCATAGTTATAGAGATAATGTCTCAAGGACATTTACACGTAAGTGAATGTAACGAAGCCATCTTGGAGCTCAGCACTCCAATTTCCAATTCCAAGCCATTATCCATTACACCATCTTCAAAAATGTAAATGCAATGCCAATCGTTATCTACTATCTTCTTAACCCCTGTTCTTTTGTTGCTCTCCATCCTTAATAATGTTTTTCCTTTTTAATTATTCTTTCGCACTCTGTAACCCCTTGTAAAATAAAGTAACAACGTTAATTAAGTCTCCCCTCTTGAAAACATCCAGATTATTAGTTGAAAGTTATCGGGCCAATCATCGCTACAGACAATTTCTACATCCTCTTAATATACATAAAGAAAAAATTGCAAGGACACAAGAAAAACAGAATTTTAAAAAATTACAAAACATTTCTTTTCCATCATATTCAACTGAACATGTATGACGGTTTGCTTTGGTTTCTTTTATGGCATATCAATACCTCAATGGGTTATTTAATGCAGACACGATTTTTATTGCTGGTAATATATTTATTTCCAAAAATGTATTCCTGGTAATATTTTTTCTTCAAAAATTTATTGCTGGCAATATTTTTCCTTCAAAAATGTATTGTTGTTTTTTTTTTCAAAAATGTATTGCTGGTATTAATTGTTTGTCTATATTTCTGATATGAGGTATTATGTACATTATTCGGACTATTGTCCTCATCTTTGTCGCCATATTTATTACAGAGTTTCGGCCGTTGTACGTTCCGGCCTTCTTCAGATGGTTGGAATGTCGAACTGAACCCTTTATTTCGCTCACTGGGGTAGACTGTTCTAGTTCCACCTGCCATGTTTGATGGATGTCATCAGTTATCTCCTGTTAATTTCCCCCTGAAAGTTCTCCACTGCCTTAACCGGGTATTGAACACACACTCTTTGGGACCCAAAGAGTGTGAGTTCAATACACAGGGTGGACCTGGGAACACCAGCAATTAAGAGGTGGTTTCACGCTCCTCACAAACTCCTGGTCAGAGCCCTTGCTGTTAAATGTAGTTTATCGCTTTACCCAGTACACCTCATTGGGGTGGGGTGTATTCTGAAATCCCAGCCGACAGCGCGGGAAACTTGTATAAATAAATATGTATATTTTGAAGTGTAATCTGAAATCTAAGTGGATATGTCTAAATTTTCCTTGGACAATCTGATTCGTAGGGGATATATTGAAATCGACTTTATGTTACCCCAGGTCTAAATAAACATAAAAAATAACTAAAAAGAAAGAAATGTGTTCAGTAGTTTATGTGAAATTGGAGGGCCTAGGCTGAAACCAACTTCAAGCCTCACCCCAACAATAACTTGAAATCAATAATCTGAATATGGAAACATAAAAGCCTCTTTTACTTAAAATCAGAAAGAGACAGTTGAAATTTAAATGACATCTAATGAATAAAGGCTTGGAGAATTTGACACACACAGGACATACTGAAAGCAAAAAGAGCAGACCTATGAAACAAGCTAGTGTAAATATATGTAGGATGGCGTGTGAAAGGATAAAGAATAGGAAGTTGTGAAGAGCCTTGATCGCCTACTTCTTGAGGACATGCAGCACATTAAAGAAGACAAAAAAGGAAGATGATTTAACGTTGCAGTCAGGCAAGGTGAAGAAGGATTATCTAAAATCGCTATACTATCATATTTTGCTCATCTGGTAAGACAATTCCTGAATAGAAAGTTTGGTAGACAAAATAAAGAGGATTTGACGTCACGTGGCTTTACTTCAGGTTCAAACTTGACAAATTTCAACAATTCTCACTGGGACAGAGCGGAAGCGAAATTTTCGGAACAGCGCGTAAGGATGCTTACGGAACTGGAAATGGTAATAAAAGATTGTTTCCTGGAATTGTAACCATCAAGGTGTAGACAAATCAAATTCTCTTCTGAGAATGAAAGACAAAATACAAATTTATTTGGCAACAGGATTTGTGCTTCCCACCCTGGATTTACATTTATCCAAAATTTGATCTATTAAATACAAAACTGAGAAAAAAACACGCGAGACTGATTGACTCCATTCGGCTTTCAAGTAGAGTGTTTCTTTCACGCTGCGATGGACATCAAAAATCAATCAATAGGAACGGACGCGAAGATTAAATCAAAATCTTTCATTTTACAACCGAAAAATCAAAAAAATAACACAAATATTTCCATGATGCGTTTTGTGTATCAGCCGCCTGAAAATCCTAGCAAAATTGTTACTCTCGATAATATGGAAACAAAATTCATAAGCATTATTACCTTTATAACATAGTGTTAGTATAATAAAAAATATGCTGAATGGTTTAAGATGGCGATAATATTGATGGAAGCATTTTCTAAAGATAATAATTTGTATGTGAATACTATTAAAAGATTAATGCGTGCAGAATTCACAATCGGAAATTAACATTATTTGGGGCTGACAAATAGAATCAAAGGGGGTCTGAAAAGGTGAGTCCACAGACGAAGAGAAATCTGACTGAAGAACTGATTTTGAAGTGGGAGCAGTCAAAAGAGGTGAATTTCCTTCGTCAAATTAAGGACAGACTAGCTAAAGAGCCTCCCGAGGTTAAGGTATCGTTGCAAAGTACGAAGAACTGATGTGATACTAACAAGCGAAAATAAAGAAATGTTTTTAGGGATATAGAGAATTGGAATCCTGTAGTAGTTTAAATTCTGTTCGTTGACTTTTTGCCATAATAAAACTTTTTTTTTATTTTTGCTTTTTTGGTTTTTATTCTTGTTACCTCGTCTTTGCTCTTCTTTGGTTTATGTTCATTCTTAGCTTGAGATGGCTACTGCAAAATGATCATTTGAGTATTGATTTTAACATAATATTAAATATATTTCTAATATAGACGCTATAAGTTGGTTCACTGTGTCGCACTAGACACTTTTTTCGCTGGAATCTAGCTTATATATTTATAAATGTACCATTCGTCCATAATTTGAATATTTCTTCTCCATCTCGTCTGATGCTCTCCTGCTATATATTTAGATATTCTTGACAAAGTCCAAAGAATAATCTGCAAAGATATTTGTCCTGGGCTCGCATCTTTGCTTCAATCAATTTCCCACCACCGTAACGTGACTTCCCTTTGCCTTTTCTATAAATACTTTTTATGGTAATTATTCTGATTGCCATTCCTCAATGTTAACTAGACTTTATGAATTTAAGCGCAGTACTAGATTGCCAGCAAGGTCTCATCATTTTACAGTTTAAATGCTTATATGTAACCGTAAGTTTTATGGAAACAATTTCTTCTGTCGCACTTCTCGCTTGTGGAACTTTCTTCCGGTTACTTGCTTTTGTTCAACTTTAATCTTCAAAAATTTAAAGGCGATGTCAATCTTATTATAGTATTTTTTTTATTCTTTCACACTCAGTGAAACCCCTTGTATCTTAGTAGCTTTATTGCCTTCCTTTGTGTGAAATGATTAATGTATATATATATATATACATATGTGTGTGTGTGTGCGTTTTGAACAATAAAAGATTTTAAAATTTAAAATTTTCAGACACACTGGGTTGTATATTAATATTTTTTGTTTTTATTATTTCAATTAGGTTCCTTGACTAGTTTCGGCCAGCATGGCCATCATCAGAAGAAAAAAATCCCTGCTTGTTAGTTGCAGTGAACTAAAGGAGTGAATGACTGTTTCTGAAGAAAAATGAACTTTATCTGTAGTTTTCATTTGTTTTTTTTTATCATTAATTTTGGTCGAACCTTGTGTTGGTCAAACGGCCGCTTTCAAGTTGTTTTTAAGATAGAAGTTGAGAAGATTCAGAATTCCCTTCTTGGTCATTTTGACAGTTTTATTGGTTGCTGGGAAGGGGATGCGTGTGTTAAGTGTATGTGATCTTTTAGTTTTTCGGCA